GGTATGGCAGTTTTTTACATCTTACATTGTGCCATACCTTTGGGATTTCCCATAGAAGACTCCACTACTACAGTAATATCCCCTAGCTCCTGGGTACTGTGCTTCCTGTGTTCTCTGATTGGTCAAGGTGGAGGCGAGGGGTGACTTCACAATCTCCACCTCGACCATTGAGAGAACACTTTGCAAACACAAACTGAAAGCAGTCCCAGGATAACCTCTGCTAGTTATTGGCATGTCTCACTTTTGTAGCAAAGCAGAACTGAGAGCATGATCGTAAACTGTGGGGTGGGACATGCTGAAAGACTTCCTCTGTCTATCAATAGACTTCAAATAAAGGATTTCACACAGCGAGCACGTTATTTTTTTCCATGTCCATTGAGGGACACAGGAAGTCTTTAACCTCCCTGGCGGTCTGATTATGTCAGTATTTTTTAATCCAAAGCGGTACATTGTTTTGCATGGAAATTTGTTTTATATTGTAGGCTTAGGAATAACTCACTTAAATCTGTCCAAACAAGAGTCTAGTAAAAATCCCGGGTATGATAAAGTTTGAAACACGAAATCATAAATTATAATATAATTAATTATAAAAATAATATTTGAAACATGGGACTGCACAAAGTCCGACATCAGAATCAGGACAATGGAACCTGGCTTCCTTTCTGGTTTTTCTTCCACTGTCATTCGCTTGGAGCAACAAACCACGCACATCCTAGTAGGTGCTGACTTTTTCTCGGTTGGTGGGATGTAGTCCATGAAGTGTTGACTAGTCAGGTGTTCTGGGTTGACAACGCCAACAGCAGGACGACCTCTATACACAGCCATTGATGGTGTTTGGTGGTTCACAAAGATACGTTTGGCAATTTCCCAAATGAAGTCCGAATGAATCACAGGCTTCTCACTCTTTTTTGAGCAGAATGTAGGTATTCCACAAACATTGCTCAAGAAGATGCCCGATTATCTTCTTGTAGTACTTTTTTCTGCGGTTTCCTCATTGCTGGGTAGAATGTCATTGCTTGGTCGGCTCTGTCAACACCTACAATGGTGTTATTGTAGTCTGTCACTACTTGTGGCTTCCTGATTTCTTTCCCACCTTTTGTGCGTACCATAACAGTGGCGATATTATGAATCCTACTCATTAGGCACACATCTTTCTTGTCACACTATCGCAGTGCCATCATTTTGCCTGCCAGGCAACTATTTCTCCAGTCTTCAGCTTCTTATTGACAAACATTGGCGGCATGTCAAGCCGGTTAGCCCTAACGGTTCCATAGGCATCGGTTTTGTTTTGTAGAAGAAACTCAAAGTTCAGGAAACGTATAAAAGTTGTCAGTTGTTACGCAACAGCCATGATTTAGCAATGGCTCAATTATTGAAAGAACGGAAGATGTTGCCATTCCATAGCTGCTGTATTTTGGATTGAATTTAGTTCCTTTTCCAGTGTATATCACTGAATTCCAAATGTAGCCAGAGTATTATTCGCATAGCATGTAAGATTTTACGCCAAATCGTGCTCTCTTTGATGCAATGTATTGCACCCAGCTGAGCCTTCCCTTGTAGGCCAGTAGACTTTCATCTATGCAGATATCTTTTTCTGGCACATAGCTCAGTTGGAAATGCTTTAGAATCATTTGAGATACTTCCTAAATTTTCTTTAGTTTTGGTGCAGGATGAGTATTTGTCAAATTCTTTGTTGTTTTCAAAGTGTAAAAATTTCATGATCAGGGAAAATCTGTACTTTGACATGACTGTGCCAAAGAATGGAGTGGCAAGCAATTTACTAGTTGGCCAATACCACTTCTGCAGGGGTTTCCCCACCACTCCCTGAAGTATTATTAGGTCGAGAAATTTCCAAATGTCATCTTTGGTCACTGGTTCCCACTTTCTGCTTCTTGGAAACTTCCAATGCAGAGTAGCCAATTGTTGCTCTTGGTACCAGTTTGTCTCGGTAACAATTTTTTCAATAACCTCATCGGTCAGAAATAATTGTAAGTATGCCAAGGGGTTGTCATGTTCGACGTCTACTTTCATACCAGGTGCTCCAGTAAATGGGAATCTTGGAGGCGCTGCCTGATCTGTAGCACAGTCAATAGCGCACCAAGTTCGCACATCACTTAGCTCAGTCACAGAATCGTCGCTGTCCTCACTTTGTGTCTGATGATGAATATTCCCACAAATCACTATCGCTCAATTCTACAAGTGATTCTAATTCACTGTCTTCTAGCTGGTCCAAAACAGCTTTTGGCACACAGGGACGCTTTTTGGATGTCATGGATGTTCTCAAGTTTCCAGGCAGAAAGAACAGTCAAAGTGCAGGCAGGGCACTGAACAAAGCACTAAGGAGAAATCGGAGGTGAAAAGGATTGATACAGTAATGTAATACTAATATATTACAACGTATTGTGTGTGTGTCACATTGTAACTTTTACTTTTCCGCAGGTTTCACCCCCCGTAGGTCCCGACGCTTGCAGAGAACAGAACCAGAAAGACTGCTGCTGGCATCGGCTGGAGGACATGGCCGGGGCCGCAGCGGGAGGACATGGCCGGGGCCGCAGCGGGAGGACATTGCAGGACCGCAGGACAAGGTAAGCGTTCGAGGGATCGCTGCAGTGTACAGCCTAAAGCTTAATGAACCACCTGAAGAAGCTTACACTCAAAGCTGGTATCAGATCAGGCAGAAACATCCACCTGGTAGAACATAGAAAAAGTGTAAACAGAAGATTGCTGAAACAGAATTGGACAAAGGGATGGGAGAACAATTTTCTGGTTAAAGTAAAAAAGCAGAGGACTTCCTTAGGCAAGAAGTTATGGGCCTGAATACTATCTTGTCACTATAAAAAGCAACAATGGGTTTCTTGGTAGATAAGGCTACCATTTCAGACACTAGACTTGCAGGAAATAGTTACAAAAAAAAAAAAACCTTGTGGGTGACAGTAGTGAGTAATGTCAAAGTACAAAGGGAGCTCCTTTGACTCTTTAGCTAATGAGGAATCTTGATTGCAGAAAAAATGAAAAGAAAGATTCAGTAAAATTGGATTGTTTTTCTGCAAGGAAAGAGACATCCATTGTCCTAAAACATTACCAAAAAATTAAGCATGATGGGAGAGGGAGGAGTTATACCTGGCTGACCAACAGCTTTTTTTTTTTTTTTCCAGTGTCCAATTCTTAGGAAGCAGTATAACAAAGTTGTTGCAGAAGTCCTTTTAACCCTGTGCCCCTTAATGAACTATATAGAATTGGTTTTCTGAAAATAAAGAATGCATGAGCACAGAAGAACACTTGTACTTGCATAAATGTTACAGGGCTTACAAAACTATGCTATATATACTGGAATTGCTTCAGTAGTGGCGGTACGCAGCGACCTATAATAGTGTGGTAGGCAATCTGACATTGACACTGGGGTGAACTGAATAACTGCTACTGAAATTGCCAGTGACATTAATACAGTGATATTATACATTGTCACTTTACTAATGACACTGGCAGCAAAGTGGTTAACATTTAGGGTGATTAAGGGGTAAATGTGTGCCTAACAACGTTTATCATGTGTAAAGTGTGCTGCTTTTTACTAATGACCTTCGTTTTTCATTCCTGCTTTGCAGGAATGATAAACAGAGATTGTTCCCTTTATACAGAGCTCTGTGTTGATTGTCAATGGGCTGTGATTGTACATAGCCGATCAACAGACATCAGGCGTGAATCATTGGCTTAGACTTGATGACAGGCTCCTGCTGTGTACAATCAGAGCGGGTGCTGGTGAGGGGGCACGCATTCACCCCCCAAACCCAGAAGCAAGCAGCAACTTACGGGTACATCACTTTGTCTGTGTGGGCGCCTGTCCGCAGTACATTGCAGTACAGGAGGTCTGCAAGTGTATATATAATGTATTTTTTATTTAACTACTTTAATGCCAGGCACTTTTGCCCTGTTCCTGTCCAGACCATTTTTCAACTTTCAGCGGTCACACTTTGAATGACAATTGCACGGTCATGCAATACTATACCCATAAGAAAATTGTATTAATTTTTTTGCACACAAACAGAGCTTTTATTGATAGTATATAATCACCGCTGGGTTATTTTTTGCTAAACAAGACAAGACTATTTTTTTGGGAAAAAAAAAAAGCCTTTCATAAATTTAGGGCAAAATGTATTCAGATGTATTTCTTTGGTATATCCCAAATCTGCAAATATTTAGTCTGTAGAAAAGTTAGAGTGTTCACAAACTGGTGTATGTATATGTATATCTATCAGAAAATTGATCAATCCTGATGTACTGGCAGTCTCTCATTTCTTGAGGCCCGAAAATGCCAGGATAGTAAAAATATCCCCCAAATTACCCCTTTTTGGGAAAATATATAGTGCAAGGTATTTAGTAAGTGGCATGGCTATTTTTTTTGAAGTTGTAATTTGTCACAATGTTTTGGAAAATGAATTAAAAAGTCATTCACGATTTTTTTTTTTTTTTTTTTTTTTTAACATATGGTCACCGGTCCAGTACAACGTTATAACTGGTGTGGCGGTGATCAGGGACATGGACTGGTAACAGTATGTAAAAAAAACACCAAAAAAAAATTTTTTTCTTATTACAATTTTTTTTAACACACTCATCAGAGCAGTACTGTGTTACCATGGTAACACTGTACTACTCTAAGGAAGTAATCAAGGTTTTTTTTTTTTATAACACATGTCTACTTATACCAATGAATTTCATTGATAAAAGAAACCATTTATATCCAATTCATTTCTTTTGTTGTGATTACCCAAAGCTGGGCTGCGATTAGCCCTGTTTGTATCATATGAGCGCTTTGACCAATCACAGCCAACACCACAATTGTATACAATGGGAATGAAAGGAAGCCATGCATCGTTTACAATTGTCATGTGATCTGTTGTGATTGGTCACAGCGATGACAGGACACTGGCAGCGGGCCAGTGTAGTAATCAGTCATAGGTGGACACAGCTGGTGGCAGATTGCACCACTGTGCAGCCCCGCCTTCTCAGAGGATGTCATATGACGTCCATTCAGAAGGAGGAATGTCCTGCCCATCCATCAATCTGCTATAGGCCGGAACGTAAGGTGTTAAACCATATGAATAATTTAAATATATATCATACCGATTGTATATATCATCATCTTCTCCACCCCATCCCCAATAATTGTTTGGAAATCCATTGATTCTTTCAAACTGCTCTCTGCTTAAAGCAGACACCCCTCCAAAATACTGGGTGTATGGTAACCTGGTAAAAAAAAAAAAAAAAAAAAAAAAAAAAGGAGGACAAGAAAACACACAATTACATATATACAACATAAAAATATTACGATTTTGAATGAAGTGTATATCTCAATATTTTTGTCTGAAAGCAGTGTTTTAATGTGCTAACATTTCAATTGTCTAAAATCACTGTTGGCATGTAAGACAGGTTAAACACGAAGATACACAAATAACACAGTTTCTCTTTCTAAAAATGGAAGAGAGATATCTAATTTTAGGTGTTACTAAACCCAGGACCCTGCATTCACTATATCTGGTCTCCCACAGTACAGAGAACATGGAAATGCAATTATTTTAGTAAATATAAACTGCTAAATACCTTTTCTTAATCAGCAGTTAGAGCAGTCTTGATTTCTACAAGCTTTAACCAGTGCTCTGCTACACACTAATAGGAGTTTTCATTCTCCCCTGATTGTCCTATGAGGCTGCATAACACCTGACCCTGTCTGGATAGCGCTGATTGGCCCTGTGCTGACCACATGCACTCTCCCAAGAAAAAAAAATAAAAATAAAACCCAACTCTAGTAATACACACCAAACTGAGCATGTGCAGCTTGCCCCCAAGGCTCTGTTCTATCAGCCAATGGACTGGAGACAGTAGAAGGGGAGGTTCAGAGAAGACAGGATCAAACAGCCTTTTTACACAATGTGGAAGATTAACCCCTTAAGTTCCACAGTGAAAACAACAAGCATGCTTCTCTGCATATACAGACTGATTTTACTGTTGTGGGTTTAGTAACACTGTAAGACCCCATTCACACCACTACACTACGTTATTGTGAGCTGCACTACGGCAGCCCACCAAAAAAGGAATGTACCATTTTCTATGATGCAGTGCACTAAATGCATGGTCCGATGCAAGGTGCTTTGGAGTCACACAAACGTCTGCTACCCACACAATAGTAGGAATAGCCTCTTAAAGTAGACGCCTACATTTTGAAAAAAAAAAAAAAAAAAATGGAAGACTTCTCTAATCTGCCACTATAAATGTCAAGTGCATAGCACACCTGCCTGTATTGACAATTAATACATCAACAGGACTTGTATGCTTCCTAAAGGCTAAGTTCACCTTTTGGGTAGGGGAGGAACCAAAAGCTCCTCCCAGCCATAACAGAAAGGACATCTAAAATATTAAAAAGGAAGGTTGGGCGGCACCACATTGACATAACAAAACCGTAATTTCAATACTACACATAATTAGCGATCACCTCTCAACAAATGTATACCCCATGTCGATAAACAAAGAGAAAACTCCAATGTACAAACATAGCATCAAATGTATATAATTAATAGGCAATCACATAGGGATAATTGTAGAGAGATGATGCATCCAGATGTTCTCATATACACGGAATTGACATATCCAATGGCATAAGAGCCCTATATAAAAAGTCAAGTGAAAACACACATAGCAATATACATCTAAAAACAGACTCTCGGCTACATAGAACCCACTCATTAGATCATGCAGGTACAGGTGTATATATGTTTTCCCACCATATCAAAGATGGCAGCTGGCAATTTACCCTGAAATCTGATGGTATGAAACCTAAAATCCCAATTGTGTAATGACTACGGTCCCCAAATATACCTAGTAATACTATCCAAACAATCCATATAAACCACAGAGGGGGCAGCAGACTCAAAACTTAAAAGTAGGTGAAGTTAGCTTTTAAGTACTTAAGTCAACTCAGGTTTTTACTGGCATTTTTCACACCTGAAGTGAACTAGGTTGATATTACCTAGAGATCTCTTTAGAGTACCTCTCATGAACATGTGCAGTGCTTTGTGAATCAAGGTATGTAATGCAGGCCATAGATGGGTCAAAAACCAGCAGTTTAAAAAAAACAAAAACTAAAAATTGGTCATTCAATAGGCCGATGTTACCACTAACGGTTAAAAAAAAAAAAAAAAAAATTGGCCTAATTTCCTTCCAGTCTACAGCCGACATTTAATTACTTCTGTCCCTTGTAGAGAGCTCCGCTATTATAGTTGACATGAAAAAGTATTGCGGTTGCAACAATGTATCCATTTCAGAGACAGATGTTTTTATTCGGATACAAATAGATACATTGTTGCAACTGCAAGACTTTTCATATAAAATATAATAGCGGACTGGAATTCTTCTTTTTCTTCTTCTTGCAGGTCACGGCTCATGCGCAGATTTTTTTATCGGTAAAACGATCGGCCGATTTGCCCATCATTGCTGGGAAAATTGGCAGATTGCCAAAATCAGCTGATTTTTTTTCACAACTTTGCCAAAAAAAAAAGTGCAAAACCCCAGAAAATTAAAATTAACCCATTAACGGTGCAAAAATTGGACGATTTTTTTTTTTTTTGGACGAAAAATTGGCCGATTTCAGACTCGTCTATGGCCTATGAGCCTGCAACTAATTCATAAAGCCTTAAAAAGGAAACTCAAAACCTTTTCAGAACAAAAAAAAAAAAAAAACACATTTTGGATAAAGTGGGGAAGAGGTGAACTGTCTGTCAAGTTTTGTCGTTTGTGTCCCCATTGATCACTATTTGTACTGGTGACGTCAACGAAACAAATCTAACTGGTTTACTTGTTTCGTGGACAACCATCTAAGCCAGCGGTTCTCAACCTGGGGGTCGCGACCCCTTTGGGGGGTCGAACGACCATTTCCCAGGGGTCGCCTAAGACCATCGGAAAACACATATTTCCGATGGTCTTAGGAACCGAGACACCGATGCTCTGTCTCGCGATCTGTGGGCGGGATGATATGCTGCCCCTGTAACCTGGCCACACCTCCGGGATCACTCAACAGCTCCGCCTCCTCGCCGCTGATTGGCCACCGGAACTGTAGCTCAGGAGAGGCACACAGGCGGCCAATCACCGGCGAGGAGGTGGAGCTTGGAGAGGAGGAGCCGAAAGCGCGCAGATCGAAGAAGATCGAGGGAGCTGCAGGACCGAGTGAAGAGGAGAGGGGCCAGAGAAGGAAGACAGCTGACAGGTAAGTGCAAATTTTGCTTCTGCAGGCTGTAGATGGGAGAGGGAGAGAGCGAGCCCAGGCTGGAGCAGGGGTCAGCAAGGTAAGTATCATTGGTGTCAGTGGGAGGAATAGTGCCCCATCATTTGTGTCACTAATTACCAACGATGGGGACTGACACCAACGATGGGGCACTATTCCTCCCCCCCACTGACACCAACGATGGGGCACTATTCCTCCCCCCACTGACACCAACGATGGGGCACTATTCCTCCCCCCACTGACACCAACGATGGGGCACTATTCCTCCCCCCACTGACACCAACGATGGGGCACTATTCTCCCCCCACTGACACCAACGATGGGGCACTATTCCTCCCCCCACTGACACCAACGATGGGGCACTATTCCTCCCACTGATACCAACGATGGGGCACTATTCCTCCCACTGACACCAACGATGGGGCACTATTCCTCCCACTGACACCAACGATGGGGCACTATTCCTCCCACTGATACCAATGATGGGGCACTATTCCTCCCACTGACACCAATGATGGGGCACGATATTCCTCCCACTGACACCAATGATGGGGCACTATTCCTCCCACTGACACCAATGATGGGGCACTATTCCTCCCACTGACACCAATGATGGGGCACTATTCCTCCCACTGACACCAATGATGGGGCACTATTCCTCCCACTGATACCAATGATGGGACACTATTCCTCCCACTGACACAAATGATGGAGCACTATTCCCCCACTGACACCAATGATGGGGCACTATTCCTCCACTGATACCGATGATGGGGCACTATTCCTCCCACTGATACCGATGATGGAGCACTATTCCTCCCACTGACACCAACGATGGGGCGCTATTCCTCCCACTGATACCAACGATGGGACACTATTTCCCCTGACACCAATCGCGGGACACTATTCCTCCCACTGATACCAATGATGGGACACTATTCCTCCCACTGATACCAATGATGGGGCGCGCTAGTCCTCCCACTGATACCAATGATGGGGCACTATTCCTCCCACTGCAAAATTACAGTTCTGAAGTAGCAACGAAAATAATTTTATGGTTGGGGGTCACCACAACATGAGGAAACTGTATTAAGGGGTCGCGGCGTTAGAAAGGTTGAGAACCACTGATCTAAGCACTGGTATACACTGGTTTTTTTTTTTGGTTTTTTTTTTTTTCTTTTTTGTGCAACCGGCAGGCTGATGGGAAAAAACCTCACAGATTGCTGAATCCACACAAGAGATGTTGATGCAGGGGTCACCCCCACTGTGTTATTGTATTCGGACAGTGGGGACCCCCAACAATCAGAACACACTGACCAGCACTGCATTGGCTGATCGAATGCAGGGTTTCCAGCAAGATTGTTTAATAGGAATCGATCTTACAATCGGCTTCAGTTGAACAGAGAGCTACACAGATGGAAATTCCCCCTGAAGTTCGATACCTTTGTACCCAGCTTAACAGGGTAATTCCCAAACTTTGGAAGATTTCCACGAGCTTTTTGTTGTGTCTCTGGGACAGAAATTAAATATTTCCCCAAAAGTACACAGACTGTGAAAAAATAGCCTGGCGGGATTTTTAAAACTTTTGTATTTCTATCAAAAAAAAAAAAAAAAAAAAAAAAAAAACACACACACAAACATCATGCATACACTTTCATAACATGATATTGTACAGAACCATTTTAACTCCTAAGAATGATTAAAGACTTACCCAAACCCAAACTTATCCATTGATACAGAGAGGTGTCTTGGTTGGTTGTAGCACTTGTAGATGTTTCTATCATCCATTGGAATGAGATCAACATCACTGAAGACAAAGCAGTTATAGTCATATTCTTTCAAAGCCTCAACAAAGCCAATGTTCAGCAACTTAGCACGGTTTAAATGTAGAATCACCATCCTTGAAGGGTGGAAAAAAAAATAGAATATAAGCACAATTGCCATTTAGAGGGATTATTTGCATTAGTCAATTTAAGGTGATAATAAACCTATTTCTTTTTAATTATAACAAACATGTTAAAACTTACCTGCTCTGTGCAATGCTTCTGCACAGAAAAGCCCCGATCCTCTTCTGGGGTCTCCCGCAGGCATTCCAGGCCCCTCCTCTTCGGCGGGTACCCCCATGGAAAGCTGCTTTCCTTGAGAGCACTTGAGCAGACTCACTCCTGAGCCGCCCTGTCTGCACCCATTGACATAATGGGCAGCTCATCCCCGCCCTCTGCTCTCATGTCACAGCATTTGACTGACAGCAGCAGGAGCCAATGGCTACAGCACAGAAGGTTTTTCACCTTAAGGCATAGAATGCCTTAAGGTGAAAAACCATAAGGCTTTAGAACCACTTATTACTTGCGTTTCTAATTTTCACACATTCAAACAAGTTACATTACTTGCACTGAAATAATTGTACTTTGAATATATTTTCTATATAAAATATTAAGAGGTTTGTAACACATCTAAAAAAGAAGCAGGATCAAAATTGCTTAAAGGTTATCGATTAACCTCCCTGGCGGTATGATTATTTCAGATTTTTGGTGCTGAAAGCGGTACCATTATTTTGCATGTAAATATGTAGTTTTTTTATTGTAGGCTGTAATATTTAGGAATAACTCACTGAAATCTGTCCGAACAAGAGTCTAGTAAACATCCCAGGTATGATAAAATTTGAAACACAAAATCATAAATTATAATTTAATAAATCATAAAAAATAATATAATAATAATACATTTAATTCAGTAATATAATCAAACCAAAAACACTGAAATTTGAAATATAGCGCCAAGTTCGCACATGGCTGAGCAAAGTCGCAAAATCATTTTCAGTGTCCGATGACGAATTTCCCCACGAATCATTATCACTCAATTCTGCAAGTAGTTCTGATTTACTATCGCTGTTCTCTAGCTGGTCTAAAACCGCTTTTGACCTAAAGGGACGCTTTTTGGACGCCATGGACGTTTCTCAGTTTCCAGGCAGAAAGAACAGTAAAAATGCAGACAGAGGACAGGACAAAATGTATGTGAAATGGGTTGAAACAGCAATGTTTTTAAGTAAAATTTGTTTAGAAAAAAATGACATTTTTTAAAATTTTCAAAATTTCCCGCCGCCACTGGCGGCGCCCGCACGTCCCAACATCACAGGGACCGGAACACAGAAGCCGGATGCCGGCATCGGCCGGAGGAGATGGCCGGGGACGCTGCAGGGGACACACCGCGGGAGCGCAGGACAAGGTAAGCTCTGCAGGGACTCCCTATGCAGCGCCGCATGGTAAGCCCGAGTGTAGCTCGGGGTTACCGCGCTTTTGGTACAGACATTTTAAACCGAGCTACACTCGGGAATACCGTTAGGGGAGGTTAAAAAGGAGCAGCAAGCCATTAATTAGAAACATTTTACTTGTCCAAATTAAAGCCCAACTACAGCCATTTTTATCTTTTGATCGTGTGACAAAGAGGTAAAATTTCTGTCTGAAAAGATTTTTCCTCAACGTCTCTGTGATGTCTGTATTAACCTCTTTTTCACTAAGTAATGATGCACATGTGCCCATGGGGACCAAGGATTCTGCATTAAGAGCGCTCTCACTTACTGAACACTCCCCTGCATAGTGACTGAGTGGTCACAGACAGCTACCGGTTTCTGTTTATGATCAGGACTCGGAGGGACAGGTTCCTGATCATGTGGCCAATCACAGCCATCATGTTATTGGTAGGTCCATTTTGCCTCTTGGCATTAACCACTTTAAGACCAGACCTTTTCTGACATTTAGTTTGCATGTAAAAATCTGTATTTTTTGCTAGAAAATTACTTAGAACCCAAATAATTTAATTTTTTTTTAAACCAGAGGCCCTAAGAATAAAATAGTGGGTGTACAATTTTTATATTTGTGCAGCAGTTTTTTAAATGCAAGTAAAAAAAAAAAAATTGAATGCACAAACACAATATAATACCCAATTTTTTGGTAAAATTTAAAAAGAAGGTTATGCTGAGTAAATAGATACCAAACATGTCACGCTTTAAAATGTGCTGCCGTTGCACGGGTGTGCATAACACAAATTTTATTATTCATAGGCAAATGCTTTAAAAAGCCTTTATAGGTTACCATTTTAGATTTACACAGGAAGTCAGGTGCCAGAATTACTGCCCTTGATCTGACGTTTGTGGGGATACTTCACATGATGCGCATGTTCGCCATTGCGCCCGAGCATGGGAAAACGGGGTGGTTGATCAGGGGCGCTTTTTTTTTTTTATAATATTGTATTTTGTTTTATTTTTACACTGTTGCGTTTAAATTTTAATCACTTTTATTGTTATCACAAGGAATATATATATACCCTGTGCTATCAATAGCCAGTGACAGGTAATCTTTATGGAGAGATCTTGGGTCTATTAGACCCCATATGTCTTCTCTGCCCTTAAAAGCATCTGATCACACCAAGATCGGTGTCATCAGAGGCTTTCCCAATTTAAAAACAATTCTGTTCACGTCCGGTGAAACTGGAAGGGATAAATGCTCATCCCTTCTGGTTTCCTATACCGTAGAGGTGATCGGAGCCGTTCCGGTCTCCGATTACCTCTATGGATGGACAGCCAAGAGAAGCACCAGCTGGTCACTCGAGGCTCCAGATGGGACGGGAGAGACATGGAAGGTGGCAGGAAAGGGGAAGTCCCATCCCGCTGCTTGTAAAAGCAATCCAGCAGCTAACTGGAGAAAGCCGACTACTGTCTTTAAAAAGCAATATTGAGATGATGCCTGCAGCTGCAGACATCATCCCGGTATAACCACTTGAAGTCCAGTCTATTGAGGTGGGACATAAAGAGGTTTCTCCTTTACACAAAAAAAAAAAAAAAAAAAAAAAAAAGGTATGCGATTGTCATGGAGAGGAAAGCAAAAACTGCAATAAAAAAGAAGCAATGTCCCCACTCTGCTCAACTAATAGAAACAGAGATGGCAATAAAAAAAAAAAAAAAAAAAAAAAAGGACATAACGGCCCTACCATTTAATTCCCTTCCCCATCTGTACTTGCTTTAGCTTTTAACATCTTTTTCTTTTTTGAGGCCTTTTCCACTTTAATTTACCTGATAGCCTGCAAACACACATCAGTCCATGGGTGGCTGCACTTACCTTTTCACTTTATCTATGGAGGAAGCAAAGGTTTACACCCAGGCTGATCTTCAAACATGCCTGCAACCATTCATCTCCATTACATGTAGGTTAATGGGGAATTAATAGTAAAACAAAAAAAACAAAAAAAAAAAAAAAAAAAAAAAACAAAAAAAAAGTGTAACGTTCTTGCTGTCGGTTTCTCTCAGAACGTGAATAGCTTTTATTGCAAAACCAGATAATTCAGAGCAAATTAAAAAGCCTAAAATATGCAACAAGTCTTTTGCTCATTGCACTCGCTTTACAGAGGTGTTTGATAGGCAGTGAAGAGTAACTGCTGCACCAAAGCACACATTTGGAACAACCCTATTTACTTGAATGAAGGAGGGATAAACTTTGCAGCAGGCATGAAGCAAAACATGCTGTTGCCTTTGCAGCTTAAGGGGGGAGTGTTTCGGATACAAAACAACGTGTTTTTAATGCACCAAAAAACACAAGTCTAAGCAAGTCCTCATTCAGCAATGTGCGTTTTAAAAGAGAAAATTCTTCATTGCTTTAATCTGTTGTAAACACAGATCTAGCATCTTGTGAGGGGTTTCATTTGAAGGACAGGAATGCCAATACTGGTCACATGCAGTCAGTTTTGATTTGCCAGATTTTAACACTTACGAAAGGTGTAAACATTTAAAGCCAAAATTTTCTTCACCTATATAGAATAGATAGGAACCTAATGAAAACCACCTATAATAGAACGATGATTCAAGATTAGAACAAGTATATTTGTGTTTTATAGATATTTATAATCTAGCTGATATACACTGATCAGCCATAACAATATGATGGCCCATCCAATATTGTGTAAGTCCCCCTTTTGTCACCAAAACAGTGCTGACCCATCATAGCATGGACGTCACTAGACCTCTGAATTTATCCTGCGGTATCTGGTACCAAGCAGTTAGCAGTAGATCATTTAAGTCCTGTCGGTTGCAAGGTGGGAACTCCATGGATTGGATTTAGTTTTCCAGCACATCCCACAGAAGCTCAATGGATTGAGATCTGGTGAATTTGCAGGCTCAAAACACATGGTGTTATTCAGTCTATTCTTGAACCATTTTTGCAGCGTGGCAGCGCACATTATCCTGCTGAAAGAAGCCACTGCCATCAGGGGATACTGTTTGCATAAAGTGGTTACTTAATCAGCAACAATGTTTAGGTAGATAGCATATGTCAAGTAACATCCAAATGAATGGCAAGACCAAGGTTTCCCAGCAGAACATTGCCCAAATCATCACACTGCATGAGCTGGTTTATCTTCTTCCCATAGTACATCCTTGTGTCATCTCTTCCCCAGGTAAGCAATGCACACGCAACCAGGCCATCCCAGCGATTCATCAGACCAGGCCACCTTCTTCCATTGCTCTGTGGTCCAGTTCTAATGATCAGGTGCCCATTGTATGGACTTTTGGCTGAGGACACGGGTTAGCATGGGCACCCTGACCAGTCTGCGGCTACGCAGCTTCATACACAAGTTGCAATGCCTATTTTTTTCTGCTTCCAACACATGAACTTCTGCCTGGCAGTACTAGCGTCATTGGTTTGAATCCCAACCACAGCACCTCCTGCCTGGAGTTTGCATGTTCTCCCTGTGCTGGTGGGTTTCCTCCGGGTACACCAGTTTCCTTCCACACTCCAAAGACATGCTGGCAGGTTAATTAGATCCTGTCTAAATTGTCCCTAGTATGTGTATGTATGAATGTAAGTTAGGAACTTTAGATTGTACACCCCTTGAGGGTTAGGGACTGATGT